CTGGTGCATTTTGTGTGTGTCAAAGACAACCTGCCCTCCCCTATATATAGCAATGATAGGTTACAGATCAATGAAGGGAGATTCCATCTAGAATCAGAAAGGTGTTATATAAACTGATCCATATTGCACTACACTATCTTAGAATAAAACTACCACTACTGTATTTTCTGTATTAAGCATCCTGGACACTTTGGTTATTTTAAGGCACTTTATAGAAATAATTTAGTGAATAAAAAGGTCTGTCGCTTTGAATACATTTATTTTCTGCCCAAATCTATGGAAAAAGGCTTTCTCTAAGTGTGGAAAAGTAATGATGAGGGTAATCAAAAAGATTTGGACATAAAATTACGGAGGTGAAGTTAATTATGGCATATCATGCACCATATTTGACATAGTAAGCGCCCCTTCCATTATAAGCAATCCCTATCCTTTTTCTGATCTGGGCATCACATTCTTTTACAATAGTTTACCAACTTTATTACTTGGGGATGAAAGCATATTATGACTTTATTGGAAATTTTGAAATGTTCTACAATTCTTCTTAAGCGTCCAGAGTGCTTACTAAGGTCAAATGAGATGTGTCTCTTTTTTTTTGGACAACACCAGAGAATGCAAAAGACTACTGCTTTTGTGGACATCTGCTTAAATCCTTCAGACACATTAGATTCTGACAATATGAAGAAAGTTCACAAATGAATACCAGTTTTGCTAGATTTATGCTGTAGAAACCATTCACATTGTCAATGAAGTTAAGCTCCAGCAGCTGATGAACTTAGAATTCTCTTGGATTAATATACAGCAACACCCACGGGCATTTTCCATCTTATTTTGTCCTTTATACAATGTATATATAAGTTCCTGATTACCTCCGTATGTGATATATGTGATATTTATGGTACCATTATTTGATTAAGTAACATGGTCTTTGTTTGTGCTCTGTATATTTATACTAACCAGTAAAATATTGACACATATCTTCAATTGAGCTTCTTATACAGTCACTCATGCTCTGTACACTTTTGTTATGGATTCTGTAAGATCTAGGAATCGGCCAAATTTCAAAGTCAAGTTTAAATAATGACAGTTTTGTTAACCTCATTTCTGAACAAACAAAGTTTCTCAGTGTTATTTGATCTTATCTATAATTATATTGGGTATAGGAAACATGAAAAGAAAGCATACTGTGTTTGTGTATATGTATGTATAGTGTATGAAATCTATACTAAGGGTCAAATATTTGTGGCGCTTGCACTTTTAAATTGTTTGATCACTACATTGAAGAAACCTAACCAAAGACATGTTTTAAATTAACCATCCTATTGTCAACAGAAGGGAAAGGTACTAATGATAATTTAAGAAAGTTATTGAAAAACAAAACAACCTGGTAGATTCCCTCATTGACAGTGACTTAGTTACCTGTTTATGGAAACCTACACACATACTTAGTCGTCCATGATGCATCAAGAATGCTTCAACACTGTTCATTTTAGGCCTGAAAGTAGTTGTGTTTCCAGTAACATGATATGTAATGTTAGTTCTTCCATTATTTTTTCTCGGATCATGGTTATACTCTCTAGTCAAAGGCCCAACCTCACTACAGATTTTTAGTAACTTACAATGTAATATTTTCTAGGTTTAGATAAAGAAGAATGAATTTCTGTGCACTTAGGTCTAGTTCAGTTATAATACTAGTACTGTATCTGTCTGATTATCTTTTGATGAATAAATGAAAACGCGGGCAGTGTGTCGCTGTATATAATATAAAGAGTAACAGCCCTTTGTTAACTGTCACTTTGTCTGCTGCATATCTCAAATGCTCGGTCATCTGCAATTGACAAGTTTTGTATGTGAATACCCCCTAGGAGGGCAGATTTTTGTCAGTAAATTAACTGTATACAGAGTTACGGCCCTTTGGTCATTGTGCCTCACTGTATTTAGGGCGTATCTCAAATAATCTGTCACCTGCAATTGAACCTCATGGAATGGCATTGTTTTTCACACTGAAATTTGGTCTTGTGCTCCCCTATAAACAGAGTTACGGCCCTTTGTTCAGTCGTTGGAAGGCTGGGGAAGATGGATTGTTTGCAGTGCTGTAGTTATTGTTCATTATTACAACAACAAAAAACAAGAAACAATAAGGCATCTAAAGAGATAGGACATTTTCATAAAATATTAAAGCTACATAGTTGCTGACTTTAAAGATGTGCTATGCTGCTAAAGCACCGTGACCAATATTGATACATCAAATATGTAATGTATAAAGATCATACTGAATTGTCAGTCAGCTAAAGCACCGTGACCAGTATTGATACATCAAATATGTAATGTATAAAGATCATACTGAATTGTCAGTCAGCTAATATAGGATAGAGACACCCTCAAATGTCGTGTAACATGTATAAGACATTAACACTCAAAACATAGCTGGCTTTGATGCAATATAAAAGTTGAGAGCATTATATAAATGTCCTTGACTACATATAGATACAAGGTTATTGTAAAATATCTTTGTCTACATATATACAATGGTATTTTAACCTAGTACATATTCCCTAATCAATTGTTTATAAATAATTCCATTAGATGTACTACAGTGTTTGTTTGGTTTCTAAGTAACAGAGATGGACGGGTGTCATTGTCAACGTAGTAAATAATTTAACACAGCTAGAGATGGCTGTACCAAGGGAGGTAACTACAGTTGACTTGAGCTGATGAAAGAGTTGTGACCTGGAAGTATAATTGACTGAAGAATAAATTGGAAATCAGTAAAAAATAATCTTAACCAGACAACCAACAAGAGTAAATCATTGTTCACTATATATCCTTATGAGTTTAGGGAGATTTTATATTTCTCTTAAATTATAAACAATTAAATTAAACTTCAAATTCTGAACATGTTCTTATTGATGAAAATGAGATTAGATTGAAAGCCTTAAGTTTTACCATTAAATAAAGGAAAGAGAATGTTCTGGCACACTTTTATTTTAAAAAATGTGGTATTAACTGTAAATAGAAACCATTCAGGGGAAAAAAAGAGTGTAAAATCACTGAATGATATAAGAAAAATATTTATGAAATATATTAATTAAGACCAGAAATTAAGTATTCACTATTAACTTCACCAAATTACTATTACATTGGCAAACGAAAGTCCTACAATGTAGGACAGAACTTTTTAGAAAATCATTCATACCATCATCTGTAACACAATGGAATTCCCTCAACTCCTGTATAAAGTCAACCCATTCTCTTGTTGCATTTAAAAACTGTTTCAAACATGATGTTTTTTCTATTCCAAAATTTTTAACAGTAGGAGATAGAAAATTTACAATTTTACACACCAGACTTAGGAACAAATGCAGTAGTCTTCAATATGACGTTTATACAGTTAACCTCAGTGATAACCCTTTATGTTTATGTGGGGAAGTAGAAAATGTACATCACTATTTCTATACATGTCCAAATTACTCAACTGTAAGAAATCACATTGTAAGAAATCTTAGGAACATAAATCTCCAGAGATCCTCCTAACAGACATAAACACACTTCTCTGGGGTAATCATGATCTCACTTTTGAACAAAACAGTAAAACCTTTACCTATGTATGTAAGTACATTAATGATGCAAGCCGCTTCTAGTAAGTAGTCTAAATTACAACAATTACATCATGTTCGAAGAATTAAATTGTCTTTATCTGTGTTAAAACCTCGGTTAATTCTCTATGAGTAGGTCGGGGTATAGAGAAACAGTCGTCAACAACCTATTTTGTTAATTCAACTTAAATTTAAAAAATAAATAAAAATAAAAATAAAAATGAAAAGTACATGTTAAGACAGCTATGATGTACGTAAAATGTATTTAAGTTAGGAGAGGGCTTAATTAAGTTGTAAGAACTTGTGCTCAATCCTTTTTGTCATTTTCAAGGCCATAAGAATATGTTTAAACCAAACGAAAGTCCTGTAATAATAACTAGACATGTATTTCAAGTCCTGTAAAGTAACTTGACCTGAATCCTGTAATTTAAGTAGACCCCCAGTCCTGTGATGTGACTAAAGTCCACTCAGATATATATCCAGTCCTGAGTCCTGTGGTTTCAACTAAATCATGCATATTGTAACTAGACGGGAGTTGTGTAATGTAACTAGGCTTATAATTAGTTGTGAGCTGTAACTGAGTCATGTAGTGTAACTAGACCTTAGTTGTGGAGTGTTTCTAGACCTGAGTCATGTAATGTAACTAGACCGGAGTTGTGTAATGTAACTAGATCTAAGCGCCCTGTAATGTAACTAGATCTAAGCGCCCTGTAATGTAACTAGATCTAAGCGCCCTGTAATGTAACTAGATCTAAGCGCCCTGTAATGTAACTAGATCTAAGCGCCCTGTAATGTAACTAGATCTAAGCGCCCTGTAATGTAACTAGATCTAAGCGCCCTGTAATGTAACTAGATCTAAGCGCCCTGTAATGTAACTAGATCTAAGCGCCCTGTAATGTAACTAGATCTAAGCGCCCTGTAATGTAACTAGATCTAAGCGCCCTGTGATGTAACTAGATCATAGCCCTGTGACGTAACTAGAACATAGCCCTGTGATGTAACTAGATCTAAGCCCTGTGACGTATCTATATCTAAGCCCCGTGATGTAACTAGATCTAAGCTCTGTGACGTTTCTAGAACTTAGCCCTGTGATGTAACTAGATCTAAGCCCTGTGACGTATCTAGATCTAAGCCCTGTGATGTTACTTGAACATAGCCCTGTGATGTAACTAGATCTAAGCCCTGTGATGTAACTAGATCTAAGCCCTGTGATGTAACTAGATCTAAGCCCTGTGGCGTAACTAGATCTTAGCCCTGTGATGTAGCTAGAACAAAGTCCTGTGATGTAACTTGATCCGAGTCCTGTTATGTCCATTTAATCCTTTTTTGACAAAACAAGAAGTGCCTATGTTCAGCTAAAAGTCATTTGCTATTTTCCTGGAGCATTGACCCTTGAACTTTTATCAGGAGGAGACTCTACGGGCATCCATGGAGGAGATGGAAGTAAAGAAACAGGAGCAGAAGGAGGCCCTGATCCGGGAGATGGAGAAAAATGAGCCCACACCAAAAGCCAAGGCCTCACAGAACAACGTCCCCCATGCTATGAGGAGCTCCTTTATGTTTGGGGTAATTATTATAAACATCTATATATACATCATACTGTACCTGCCTACCTTGAACCAGGATAGGGGATTATACCTGCTATGAGGTGTAAGGACTAGCTGCTGATCATGAGCTCATGTACTTGTGTCCTTACGAGATCTCGGGTAATTCTAGATGACTATCATTCCAAATGGTTATGACCATGGCAGTGGTTGAAACAATTTCCTGTACCCATCACACATTTTTATTTAAATGCAAGGTTTGCTTTTAGGATGGAATAGTGACATACAACAGTAGAAATAGGACACTATATATTTGCTGCTATTTTATATTGATGTTTTAATAGATAAAGAAGGAAATATTTGTGCACATATACTTGACAATCCTGAAAACATTTTTTTTTTTTATAGCAAGTTGCTCCAGACTCGAACCAGTTTGAAAACACCAAGGAGTTTGAGAGGCAACAGTGGCTACAGGAACTAGGTAGGTTTACGCTGATTAACTATTTCTTATGTTCAGAGGCTAAAAGACAGGTTAAAATCTCTTATGTTCAGAGGCTAACAGACAGGGTAAAATCTCTTATGGTCAGAGGCTGAAAGACAGGGTCAATATAAGTAGTAGCTATATATATAGACAGTCTATGAGAAAGGTTATTGAATATGATAAAATATGGATAAAGTCCGTGCCCTACCACATTATTGTGAAGGTTTTTGCCTTTTCTGTTGGTCGTTCCATTTATAGGACATCTTGGTTAAACATTGGCTTTTGATTCATTTTTGTGATACATCACACTAGAGTCCAATAGTTCATGTAAGATACATATTGAAGTTCCACAGCTATATATGAAAGGTTGGTCAATATGACCTATATTTTCCACTTCACTGACTTTGGTCATACTTCACTGACTTTGGTCATACCTCACTGACTTTGGTCATACTTCACTGACTTTGGTCATACCTCACTGACTTTGGTCGTACTTTGTGTTTACAATGTAGCTCCATTTCCATCAAAGCAGAGTAAGGGTATAATTATGTATTTTGTTTTTCAAACATTTCTTTATATAGAAAATGGAAATAGACGTATGATTAAAAAAAAAAAAAAATGAGAGCAAGGGCTGTCCATTTGATTACCAGTAAATAAAATGGTCTGCTTTGTGTTGTATCCTATGACAATGAAATTTACCTATGCTCCACATACATATTTTAAAAAAATGTCAATAGTTTTTGTATTGGTCCATTTGGCGTGGGAATCAGAGAATACATTTATTTTCATGACCTACAGACAAACAAAAGGAAGAAAAGCGTCTAAGACAGAATAATAGCAAGGCCAATACTGCCAACCAAGAAACCTGGGCAGACAAATTCACCTATCACAAGCCAGCCGGGTACCCAGACCAGCTTAGAGAGCCCCCTGCTGGCTATCCAGATCCCTTCTCACCAAGGGACAAAACTCTAGATGGAGGAAGGGTTAACAGTGCTCCATCACACATCCCAGACAAAGATGAAGACATGTGAGTCACACTGTACCTGTATTACAGGCAGAATCAAAACTCTTCAGGTTGTAATCTACTGATATTCTTAGGAAGGGAATACATTGTTATCTAACATTAAAACTTAATTACAGTTTACATTTAGGCGTGTACTAACATCTAGAGATTGGGTAATTCCGTCTTTGCGTATTGCAGAGTTATCCTCTCTTGTGAGCAGGTATTGATTGTTACATCATTTGTTTGTGAGAGTAACGTCATCAATTTTTAGCTCACCTGGCATGAAGTGCCAAGTGAGCTTATGCCGTGGTGCGGCGTCCGTCGTCCGTCGTCCGTTGTCCGTCGTCCGGTGTCAATATTTTACTTTAAACGACTTCTTCTTAATAACCGAAAGGCCTAGGGTGTCGATATTTGGTCAGAAGCAAACTGGGATGAAGGGCTACGAAGTTTGTTCAAATTAATGACCTTCACCCATTTTCAAGGTCACAGGGGTCAAATATGTTGAAAACTTTAAACAACTTCTTCTCAATAACCAAAATACCCAGGGTGATGATATTTGGCCAGTAGCATGCTGAGATGAAGGGCTACAAAGTTTGTTCAAATGAATGACCTTCAATAATATTCAAGGTCCCAGTGGTCAAATATGTTAAAAACTTTAAACAACTTCTTCTCAACAACCAAAATGCCCAGGGTAATGATATTTGGCCAGTAGCATGCTGATATAAAGGGCTACAAAGTTTGTTCAAATAAATGACCTTCACCCATATTCAAGGTCACAGGCGTAAAATATGTTAAAAACTTTATACAACTTCTTCTGTATAACCAAAATGCACAGGGTGATGATATTTGGCCAGTAGCATGCTGGGGTAAAGGGTCATCAAGTTTGTTCAAATGAATGACCTTCACTTATATTCAAGGTCACAGGGGTCAAATATGTGAAAAACATTAAACAACTTCTTCTGAATAACCAAAATGCACAGGGTGATGATATTTGGCCAGTAGCATACTGAGATGAAGGGCTACAAAGTTTGTTCAAATGCATGACCTTCACCCATATTCAAGGTCACAGGGGTCAAATATGTTAAAAACATTAAACAACTTCTTCTGAGTAACCAAAATGCCCAGGGTGATGATATTTAGTCAGTAGCATACTAGGATCAAGGGCTACCAAGTTTGTTTAAATGTATGACCTTGAATCATATTCAAGGTCACAAGGAGCAAATATGTTCAAAATATTTAAACAACTTGTTCTGAATAACCAAAAGGCTCAGGATGTTGATATTTAGTCAGTAGCATGCTGGGATCAAGGACTACTATGTTTGTTAAAGTGAATGACTTTGACTTATATTCAAGGTCACAGGGGTCAAATTTGTTTAAAATCTTTAAACGACCTCTTCTGAATAACCATGGGTCCCAGGATGTTGATACTTTGCAAGTTGCATCCTGAGATGAAAGGCTATAAAATGTGTTCAACATAATGACTTTGTTCGACTTTCAATCACAGGGGTGATATGTTCTAAAAAAAGTTAACAGGGTCTTTTGAATGAATTTTAATCATAAATACTGATATTTTGCCTGTAGCTTTATTTTAGATCACTTTTAAGGTTACAAGTGTGAGATTTATACCAGGTGAGCGATGCAGGCCCATTGGGCCTCTTGTTGAGAAAACAACGTCATTTTCTCACACAAACCAATGACGTAACAATCAATACCTGCTCACAAGAGAAGATAACTCTGCAATACGCAAAGACGGAATATCTTTTAAAAAAAACGTTCACATGGTACTGCTCGAAGTCTTCATGTTTATGATCTTGAGACAAATAGGAACATTGTCTATACCTTTCTTTCCATTAGGACGCACATACGAGGCCAAAACGTGTTCATGGATCCGGTCACGAGAAATGAGCTGGAGGAAAAGAGGAAGCGCCTGCTGGAACACCAGGTAAGCTGCTGATACACCGTGATACGTAGATGTGCCAAAAGGGTTTCTAAAGTCAAGGTCAAGTTCACTGTTACTTACAAAATAAAAATTGGGAGTGTGAAGGGAGTTTAGTTAGGAAAATGTCAGGGGCCCTTGCTGACCTGTCAGTGTTCTAGTACTGATAGCATTTCTATTCACATGCAATAAATATATATTGCACTACACTTGACCAATTTACTGTTGGTTCTGATCCAACAATAAGACCATGCAGTTTCACCACGACTGTTGGGCCAGTTCTTTTTTATTTATCCTGGAATCTGTGTATTTAATTTGACCTTTGACCTGTAATTTTGAATTCATCCCTGGTCATTGACAGCAAGCAGTGATGGAACAGGTTCAACAGAAACAGCGAGAGAAGCAGAGAGAGCGTGAGCTGAAACTGCAGGAAGACATGGAGGGGGAGATAAAACTACAGGCCGAGCGCGACCGTATACAGCGCCAGTTTGACCAGGAGCAAACCAAAATCAAAATGAAAGAGGTAAGGTGTCTTACACTCCAAATTTGTGGGGTTTTATCAAATATATGTTCTTTTTGGTTTTATAAATAAATGTAGTAATATATCAAAACTGAAATTGTTTTGTTTTGTTGAGAAAATTTGGTTTGCTTGCAAAATCCACATGGGTGTGATTAACACTCGATGTTAACTACTACTATTAAAGGTGCAACTTGGTCCATTAGTTCAGGAGTAAATTATAGTAACAAGCAAATGAAGATGAAAAAATAAAGGTGGGAGAAAGCAACAACTATTTAAGGATCCTCGTACCTGACTGCCACGACTATAAATTAGGGGAAAACCTTCCTGCATTACAATAACTTGAATAAATCATTTCTGGAAAGAAACCCATACCTTGCCAAACTTTTATGAAAACGCAATAAAAATGAAAAAGAAAGGATATCAACAGCAGTGTTCTGAGAGTAACATTGCAATGGGGCCAGACCTTGACTCAAACCCTGAATAATACTCACAATACGGTCCCCCAACCTGATCAAGGTAGTTCCCTGGCCCATAATACTCACAATACGGTCCCCCAACCTGATCAGGGTTGATCCCTTGCCCATAATACTCACAATACGGTCCCCCAACCTGATCAAGGTAGTTCCCTGGTCAATAATAATTACAATACGGTCCCCCAACCTGATCAATGTAGTTCCCTGGCCCATAATACTCACTATACGGTCCCCCAACCTGATCAGGGAAGTTCCCTGGCCCATAATACTCACAATCCGGTCCCCCAACCTGATCAGGGTAGTTCCCAGGCCCATAATACTCACAATACGGTCCCCCACCCTGATCAGGGTTGATCCCTTGCCCATAATACTCACAATACGGCCCCCCAACCTGAACAGGGGAGTTCCCTGGCCCATAATACTCACAATACGGTCCCCCAACCTGATCAGGGTAGTTCCCTGGCCAAAATTAATCACAATACGGTCCCCCAACCTGATCAAGGTAGTTCCCTGGCCAATAATAATTACAATACGGTCCCCCAACCTGATCAGGGTAGTTCAGCTAAAGCAAAATTAAGGGGAGGTTACTGTATGTATACTACAAAACTACAGCGGAATTCTCAAGAGTTTGCCTGCCCCTGCAGTGGGACACAGATCCTAAAATAAACAATAAGGCATTAGAAATTGTTTTAAGGGAGCCCTAGAGATTTTTCTCTGCTATCAAAATCTTATTCCGTCTTTTCGTATTGCAGAGTTATCTGCACTTGTGAGCAGGTATTGATTGTTACGTAATTTGTTTGTGATGTAGTTATTTATCTTCTCAAAATAGTAATATCTTAAATAACTATCAATATATTAGAGTACTAACTTGGTACACACACAGATTTGGTTGCAAATGGAATTATTTGATATTAATTGTCAATCTTACATCTAATGCAATACATTGCAATCCTAAGTATGACATTGATGGAGAGAAGACGCCTTGTTAATTTTGTACTTTCTGCAATTACAATATTATAGCTACATATATTAGCACCAAAATGAACATACAAACTGTATTACAGATACAGTTATATTTGTTAAAATGTTCACAGGTTCGAAGACAGCAGGAAGTAGACCAGCTAAAAATGGCCATGGATGAGGCCCACGAGTCTGCTCTCCGCGAAAAAATTACACGGCGCATGCAGCATCTAGAGGAAGGTGGCCATGACACCACGCACCTCAAGGCTACATTACAAGGTAGGTAACGCACACAATTACATGTTTATACAGGTCATATCAAAGGACCACTGGGACTAGCTAGTTATACCTCGCAAAAGGCTAGACGAAAATGGACGTCCTTTCTAATTCTGTGATTATTTAGATTCAGCGTGTTGTATTGTATCATTACCTATATGGCCAGTCTTAAACATGGACGGGTAGAGGGTAAGTAAGGGTCATTGCTGGAATAGAGTGAGGGAATCAGAAGAGTTCAGATATCTGGTAGGGGTAGAGTGTATTGTCTTCTGAAGTATTTCTACTTGTTAGGGGATACCTAATTGCATCTTTCTCGGAAATTTGTGATGTGGAACTTTTATAGTAAATCATAGGGTAGACACTAGACTATCAGAAACTGTAGTAAGAAACAGGCTTTGAAACGTATCTGGAGTTCCACTTGCATGATTATCTGTAAATCTAGTGTGTTGTCACTTTATGTCAACAACACACTTTATAAGTCTCACAAATATTAGAGAAATAGCGTTTGAGCAGAAAAATCATAATATTTGTTGTTGTACATGTATTATGTATATATGCATGTAACACAGGCTAGATAAGATACGCTTCCTTTGGTGTTGTCAATAATAGATCACAATTTCAGATTGAAATATACAGTTGTTTTCAGGAATTTTCTGATTCCAAAATTTCAAAACTCAAATGCTTTGTTAATATATATGCTTGATCAAACAATTTTCAAAAATATTGCTTCGTTTTTTATGACAAAATAGGTTTCAGTCATCATTGAATTAATATATGTTTGCATTTCCAGGTTGATATGAGACACAGCATTATATGCATGGGTATTTTATGAATATTCAATGATATTAACATATTTAGTATAAGTACCTGTGAATGTTGTGAATAGATTATTTTTCTTTCAGGAAGATATTTTTCTAATAACAAGGTATAGCTACTTGGCTGATTCCTTTAATATCCCCTGGAATCTAACAGCTCCGTTATTTACCAGGGTAATAGTAAACATATTGGCTGCATCATACCCTTCAATGTTCTAGACAATCCTCAAAGTGGCCGTCACCTAGCAACTGACAGAGACTCGTTTCGAGATCACCACAAATCTAGGGGTATGAATTTAAAGGTGGCCATCTTGTTGGACACTTTGTGTTACACTTGCACACTGTTTGTTTCACTCTATCCACATGTGTTTCTGACTACTTTGCATATTCAGATGGTTAATGACATTTGCATATTCATTAATTTCATTATTAATGAGTGTGAATACTCATAAGAATGTTGATTTATTAATGAATGTTGAATATTCATTAGAATGCTGCATATATATGTAACATCAATGAGGGTTATGATGTCAGTTATTTCTAAACATTTTCTTCAGGTTGGTAAGTATGGATTATGAAAAGATTTTTGTAACACAACCAATAAGTGTTTCTATGTAAAGTTTCGATTAATAGTACGGTATGTACTCTGTCACCTTCATCAGACAAATGACAAGTGAAGCGTATGTTCAGAAAGCGTAGCTGAATTGAGTCATTTCGCTACATATATAACAACTAATTTTACATACGCTTACAGCGTAGCCGAATCAGCATCGATTTGTGGACAACTCGTACATATTTTACACCTTTGTGTGTATACGCTTTACTGGCCATTTGTTTGATGTAGGTGACAGAGTACATACCTTACTAGGCATCCAAAGGTCACATAGAAACACTTAGTGGTTGTGTAACAAGAATCTTTTGATAAACCCTTGTCAGTACCTTCCATTGATGATGAAGTGATATATTATATGCAGCATTCTTTGGTTATCGCCATTTCATTGTCACTGTTGACTGTTGCATTGTCATCCTTTATTTGTGTTCGTCCTTTTGTTCCTATCAGACTTGTTGCCAAACACAGGTATGTAGATACAATATTGTATGCTAATTTCTTGGATGCAGTGAGATGGGGGTCACCTTGGGTATAAAAAAATTGTAGAAGTTCACTCATTAGTGAATCTTAGGCTATCAGTCACTGGATAAATACTGTAATAGTTTAGTTAAATAGTGTCTATATTTATTAATGTAATCATATTTTTTTTCAATATATGCATATATTTTTTTCTTCATTTTAGGTTAAGTTTATAATTACAATTAATGTAACTTAGAGATAGTCTGGGTGCTGGATAATTATTTGTTTATAAAGTCATTTAGAAAACTTCTGGTCTGGTAATTTCTATGGAAAATAGCATTCTATAATTATTGAATATTTGGTATATTGGAAATATTGAGCAGACAATTTCTTCAAATAGTCAGTTGTACTAGCTACATCCTAGATACTCCAGGGGTTACGCTCACTTTCACTCTCTGGGTGGTCGGGTGGCGCAGTGGGTAACACACTTGCCTTTCACCAAGGCGGCTGGGGTTCAATTTCCCAGTTGGAAGTGAAAAGGTATGGGGTCACCTGCCCTGTCTTCTCCGGGTATTCCCCCATTAAGACCCCCGCGTGCTAACATCTGGGCCAAAAAGAGTGATTAATATAAGTTAATATAAAACTCTCTGCACCACTGGAATATGTCATAGCAAAATTGAAGGCACACGGCTAGCTATTTGGTTGGTCTCGGGTAAAATAAACCTGACCAATCACTAGGCTGATACATGTCCTTTGAAGATTACAGAGGAGCTGACACCCGACTTTGAAGCCAATCAGTTTTACTGTTACTACGCGACAGATTCTTTTGATGTACATGTACACCAAAGGATCATATTAGTCTTCTCATCTCACCCACAAGGTGAAGCACGCTGAGTTCGATTTTGGTATGACAAATTCCAGGGGTTACGCTCACTTTCGCTGTCTGCGCCCTTGGAGTATTGAGGATGGTTCTACTAGAGACGACACTGATGTAATTAACAATAGTTCCTAAGGTTAGCACTGTGATGTCTTTCTTTATATTTATGTTATTTCTTGTTATAAGGAGGGCATAGCAGACACAATATAGGAATATGACATACAGATTTTAAATAAACCTGTTTTTGTAAGCTTGATCCCTAATTATATAACAGGCAACTCATCCCTGGCTTAATTCCTTCTCTTTCTCATGATCACTGCTTAATACATTTCCTCTACACTAAAACTGACAACCCTGACATGGCAAGACATGGACATCACAGTCATTTAGAGCCATGTTTTGGTTGAAAATTGTCAAAATTTCGAGAAAATACAAGAATTTATTATATTGCAATTATAAGACCACAAACATAAGCCTTGCTAATTCAAGGGTTCCAATTTAAAATTGATGAAACATTACTTGATATATTCTGGAGATTAAAAAAAAAATAAGAAAATATGCATTTTACATTGTAAGACATTGCAAAAAAGCAAGTATTTGAAGAAAAGAAATAATACTGATATCATTTCCAAATAAAACTTGAAATTTTGAGGGGTGTTTGATTTGTTGTGCTTCCCTCAGAGTTAAATGTCCTGATTCATGACTATAACATGTGTTTAATGCTGTCATCTTGTGTGATAAATCTACCAAAGACCTACATATGTATATTATATAATGTAATCTGTATGTTATTTCTTTCAGCATAAGTGAAACAAGATATGCTTGATGAAATTATATTCTGCTTTAACAGTTAGTAGTAGTAGCCCTGTATAAATGTTAGACTATGATAAATTAAAAATAGCATAGTAAAAAACATTTTGTAGAAATTTGGCAGTGGGGCTTTGATAAATCAATTTCTAATTCCTCACACTGAAGATGTTTGTAAAAACATTATTAGACATAAAAAATAGCTTGGTATATATGCAAGAGGTTCCAACATTTTACTGTTGTCATAATTAGTTACTATACATGGTCTTGGGAATGAATTTTGGCAAATTCATCAATTTATAAATACTTGTCAAAGTCTTGCACATTTGTGTGCTTGAGACTACTGTAGGTCAAAATTGGTTCAAGTATAAACTGTTAAAAAAATAGATTAGACCACATGAAAAAAATCTTGTGTTTCTGCTTACCCTAGATTTTTGTGCCAACCCTCAAGTTTTTGTTGGCTGTTTTGATATGCACTGTTAAAGTCAGAACTCCTGCTCTATATTTATATAAGCAAAGTAAAAATATTTTTCTAGAATAAGAAAAGTTGCCTACCTACCTACCCTATTTTTTCTGAGGACGATAGCGGAAACACAAGTAATGTTTTGGCCTTACAATCCTTTCATCTGCACTTAGGAGTCATTTTACTGATTAAACTCAATTAATTAAAACAAAAACCTCTTTCCTTTTTTGGGCTCTACCCTTCTGCCCCAAAGACACTTATCCCTTCATTTACACAAGGTTGCATGCATGAGCCTTGACATTCTGTATCCCTTGGTCCAGGAATACCCAGGCAAATAAGGTTACACTCTCTATATCCCTATTTGAAAAATGTAAAAACTTAAGTCTTTAAAAGATTAGTTTTTAGATATGGACTGAAGACTCCACCATTATCAGCAAACTCACAAGTTATGTGACTTCCAGTTCTTTTATTTCATATATCAATGTAATGTTTATATTACAAAATAAATTACTGCCCAAATTGCACAATGGAAATCTCACCATAGTTCAATGTCCATATTTGTATGAGGTTATGTCACAGTTCAAATGTCACACTATGTCAGCTACTAGCTAGGTTGTGTTTCACTTTGTACAAGGCTATAGATATACTGTTTCAGGAGTCTGACTTTGATAAAGTACAGTACAGGCAAAATTATTCAGCGATTGCCTGGAATGGTTGTGTAATGGCTAGCTACAATATTTCACTACTTATCTTCGGATCTTTCACTGGATCTTATTTCAAACCAATTTTGGAAATTTGAAATTTGATACATCTAAATTTGATAAGGATATTGATTTCAAGTCTGGTGAAACGGCTGAGGTCATAAAATACACAAATCTGTAACCGGCCTAGAGCTGTTTGACACGTAAATCGTGACAACATGTGGAGATTTATGGAAATGTTGTGGAATAGCTATGGCAGACACCATTTACCAGTCACAAGCTGTGTCAAGTTCAGTCCTTTTCACCCGATATACGTATATATGTAGAAAAATATCTGGAGGATTTTCTCGATTTCATTCTGATAATAATTTGTGATAGAATAATTTTCTAAGCTCTGAGTATATTCTACATGTATACCATAACCATATTTAATATTTCAAACTTTTCAATCTGGGACATATAACAATAGAATTCCTAACTTGATTGTAAGTCCAGTGGAAATTTAGTTGAAACGAGTTAATGTATTGACTGATATTGGTTCGGCAGATGAAATCTAGCGAAACGAGTTAATGTATTGAATGATATTGGTTCGGCAGATGAAATCTAGTGAAACGGGTTGAAGTGTTGTATGATATTGCTGAGGTAGATGAAATCTGTAGCATTGGAAATAAACTATTATGATTTGATATAAGGGGGGTGTACTGTATTAAAATCATACCAACTGAATATTTATTTATAAGTCGAAGCATTCAATCTTCTTCAGTCATCAATGGTGAGCATTGTCAACCATATTGTAACTTGCTGGTATAACTTTCTGATATTTAAAATAATGGTTATTAACTTTGTTCTCAACTGAATCAGGAAATATTAAATTAGATTGACACAAAAGATTCATTTCTGGTATATCAACCTTTTACTTGCCTCATGATCAGGTATAGATACTTCCTTATTGTTTATCATTGGATTGAAAACAGTTTCTGTCCTAATTCTGTTATCCTAATGGTGAGGCTACTGAATATTGTATTTCACATTGTTAGATTTATTTTGCTTCACATATTTTTGCTTCCAGGTCCATGTTTCTTAATTCTAAGAAATTTTGAAAAATCTGAAATGAACTTAGTCTATCTTATTTTTCTTTCTCCTAACACTGGCCATGTATAACTGTTGTGACCGAATGTTGTATCTCTTTTTCTATCATTTCTTAAAATGTTTTCTTTACAGCCAAATTAACACCCCGAAATAATAATCCAAGTACTCATGTCCAGCCAGAGTACGTACCAGGCCTGAGCCTGGAGTTATCTCCCCGCACAGGGCCCACACACAGGTCACACCGAGAGGCCCAGATCTTGGATAACGCACCATACATAGAAAACCGGGTGCTGACCCCGAGTCGGTTTCGACATGGTATCGACGCTTCACGAGAGTTCGGCACTCAAACTGGTATGGGACGTTATACTCCCCCTGTGTCTGATGATAAAACAGTCCATGATAATGATCTATGTGGAAAGGGTTTGTATAGAGTTCAGTTCTAGGCATGAGCATGGCCAACTCCACAGTATATCTGGACACAATTTATAACTATTGATGTCTCTTTCCATACACCATTCTCTTCTTTTAAAACTGATTTGCATGCCTTTATTGTAGTATCTAGGGAATTGTCTGGCACAGTCATAGCCATTCAACATTGCATGCAGCCCCAATATTAGTCTCCTGTACTCCCAAGTTATAGAACTGATTACATATCATAGTTGTGTATGTAATAAAGAAGTATGATATAGTATCATAAAATACAATTGATATTGTGCTAAAGCATTGTGTTGTACAATGTAAAAATTGTGTTCACTGTGATCCTATTATGTATTGGGAAGGAAAACTTAGGTTAATTAATACATTGCATGCAAGAGAGTGATTTCCACAGTCTCTGTGTTGGGCACAGTTACAGTATCAGTTCCTTAACATGTTTACAGTCAATAGAATGTTCTTTAAGGTGTACAGTATTGAGAAATGTTTGCGACTATAATTGTTTTTGTTTTTTTTTGCTCTCATTAATTGAGAGCTTTGTTGGTGCTATATGTTACCATCAGGACCAAGTCAATACTAGACTAGTATCTAGTGGTGAAGGGAGACTATTTGTCTGGGTGGAGGTTTTGGTGTTACATTAAATATATTGTTGTAATGTTTTTAGACAAAATCATCAGTTGAAAAATCAAAATCATTGACCTTTAATTGAAGACAGGAAATATGAAATCACCTATGAATTTAGAATAGATAGGGAAAATGATGTATTGACTGAGAAATGATCTAGTACATGTACTTATACTTAAGTAAGCATTATCCTTGTATCTATATATCATTGAAACATATTTGAGAAAGATGAGCATGCATGACAGAAAATGCGTTTACATGTAGCATGTGTTATGTAATTATAGGAAGTGCTCTCTGAAAGATTTCTATACAAATATTGCCATAAGTGGGATTATGTGTGCTCAGAAATAAAAGCATGAATAAACATGTGTATACATGTACACCTTAGGGACAAAAATCAGGCTTTTGAGCTGTTCTTTAAAATAAAATCATTAGATCTTAGAAAAAAGGAACAGTTTTAAGCAAATCTACTGGTTGTAAATTAAATGTTGATTTTAAGGGTCTAAAATGGGGAGTCTAACTCCAATAAAGGTAAAGTTGGCAAGTATGAATAAGTTTTAACAGGTGTGCCTATTTTGTGTCCTGTATTATGACATTAACGTGTTGGAAATAAACATGTAGCATCTATTATACATAAACAGGAACAAGGTGGAAGTCTTCTGTATTATCTAAAAACTGATTTTGTTCAGGTGGCAGTAAATTGTTGACCATTCAAATTGGGAAATATTGAATAAAGTCAGGAAAATACAGCTGAAATTCCTTTGGGAGGGGGGNCTTTTCAAACTAAATAGAAATGCTGATTGTTATTATCCACACTTAATTAAAATGAAATATTTGTGAAGAAACAGATCAAGATATTTCATATCTGTATTGATTATGGAGAGTTCATTAGTTATTAGTTTTAAGAACTTAGCAGTTCCGAGAGTGCTTTCTGCAAGACAGAACAATTAAGTGATAAGCTAATGCATGGCGATGGAATGATCTACAAAACAAAAACATAATAATGTGAATGAAGTGATACTTTTAAAATAATTCTAATAATACAGATAATTGTACCGTGAAAATTAGACTCCATTAACCCTTTCACCCCTATGCAACTTTGGTAGACTCTCCCATACACTGATCTGGATGAGTCCATTATGGTCTACAGTAGTGAAAGGGTTAAAATATGTGAAAATTGTCTATATTGCATTGTTTCTTTGACTATTTGTTGCATTTTGACCAATGTTCATCTCCTTGTTTTTCCAGTTGAATTTGGTACAAATACTGAACTAGGGACTCGGAGAGAAGAGAGTGAGGTTCGTATCATGTACAATGCACAGGGGAAGAGAGTTAGGGTAAAGAGTGCCGCAAAGGAGGAAACCAAGAAATATCAGCGAAAACCAGAACCTCCAATGGAACAGAAATCAAAATCGAGGCCAAAAGAGGAAAAAGAAAAGGGAAAACCCAAGTGGAATTTTCAAAATAAAAGACGCAAAAGGCCGGTGAAACAGTCAGAAAAAGATATTAATTTCCAAGAGAAAAGAAAGCAGAGTGAAGTTAGGAGGTTGAAAAGAGAACAGGAGTTGATGAACTTAGTGGACATGAATCGTGATCGTATACCTGGATACAAGGGAGCTAACTCTCGTGGTCATTCACCTGTGTCTGATCATGAAGGTCATAGGTCAAGGAGTGAACGGTTTAATGCTAGTCGGAGGTCTAAGTCACATTCACCAGTAAATGTCAGTGCACGGCGAGAACAGACATACCGGATGACCTCGCCCAACCTGACGCAACGTTCGTCTTCGCCGGGGCCAAAAGTCGTTGGGCCAATTGAAAGCAGCCACAATACAGCCAGGGGGAGATCACCCCCAGTTCCTGCCTTACGATTCAAAAAAGACAATGCATACGACGTACACTTAGCAGAGAAACAATCTGCTCGTAAGTACGCTGATGGGAATCCATTAGATATACCACTGATGGAAGGAGAGTTTGTGCCATTTATGAGAACTGTAGAAGTGCTTGACCCTGCCCATGCAGGCTCCCCTGTCCCTATATCTAGGGAGGCCACAGCCGTGGTCAATGCTCGCAAGGCCTACCTCAAGGGGATGAAGCCTGGCGACTATGGTAACAAGGCCAACAATTATGAAGACAGATTGAAAGTTCCAGGCGAGGAGAAATCTAACGTAAGAAAACATTATACTTTAGAAAAAAAGCACAACATGCATGGACTGCAACAACTGCAGAACTCAACAACTCTAAACAAATTACTTGGCTAATTATAAGTCTGATGAAATATCCATTTTAGTTACTATACATAACTTTAGTTTCATGGGAACTTGAGTTACCGTACATTACTTTACTTAAGTTACATTATTTGTATTATCTTACATTTCTTCACTTATTGACTAAATCTTGATTCAGAAGCTATCATTTATTGAGATTCAGAAGCTTATCATTTTATTGAGAGGTTTAGATGTCAAGCAAAGAAATATAACATTTTATCAATAGAAAAACTTTGTCTTATAACTACACATCGGTCCTGTTTACACTGATAGAACCCTCCAGCAAATAGCATGTTCCCTGATTTGAAGTATGATGTACAGTTTATCTTTCAGAAAGTAAGATTTATAACTTGAGCATTTTAGACATTATTGTTATTGAAAGGTAAAATATTTACTTCTATGCTTTAAGTATACATGATTATACATAAAGATAAATACAAATTGGATTATATTGTAAGAAATGTATGGAGTTGGACCTGGTTTTCCAAAGTAGTAACACACATTCACTGAAGAACTGCTTACTGATGCAATTTGTCCAGCAATATTTTGGCATTATATAAGTGTTTGTAACATATGGGGAAGGATTAATTTATAAAAGAAAAGTGGACATATGTCAGCAGTAAGCAAGATGGCCAAGGAAATGAGGGTCATTAAAGGTTTTACTGTAACTTGTGTCTCTGAAAAGGATGCTCAATGCTCTCCCTTGATGACACAGTGCACTTGTAAGGTTGATTACGGTAATCTAGTTAATGATGTGTCTCTGATGTTCCTAGGACCCCATCATGAACCCTGCTCTAGTCAAAGACCACCCCACTCACAGACAGGAAGCCATTCTTCAACAGCTCTCCTCACTAAAGATGGTAAGTAGGGTGCTCGTCATCTCAGGCTAATGTTTTTAGGGTTTTTTTCTTCATTTTTCTTTTTTTTTATATTGATTTCTCCTAATTATAATGATTTCTCCTAATTATAAGAATGAAATAGAAATGAACAAAAATGTCTTCATTTTAAACAATTTGTTTTTCTTCTGATTACTCATGACCTGTAGGAAATAAAATAATAAAAAAAAAATTAATCTAAAAAATTGATGCATGCACGCAACGTGTCAAAAATACATCCCAGCCTGTATAGAAAATAACCATGTCGTTTTTACAAATTGTCAGTTAGAATTGATCATGTGTAAATTGAATTTGATCGGGATGTATAGGAACATTGGCATGATTGTATATCAACCAATAGAGGATACAATCTGCAAATTGTTCTCATAATAGTTTTAGAAAAGGGCCAAAGGTGCCTGTCAAACCATCTTACACCAGACACTATATGATGTATACAAACCTGTATTCAGAAACACATGCACATTGCATCATGCCTGTTTGAAATTTTACTGCTGTCTGTAAGATTAAACCATAGCAATCACTTCATCGACTCGCTCATGTTTCTATGCAGTATTCACATTTAGTTGTTGTTATATCTATTTCTGTTCCATGAAATGTCGTTTGATGATGGAAGTGATTTTAGAAAGTATTGATTTTCGTGTTTATGGGAAGTTTATCACGATAGAGAGAAACGTGATTTAGCGTTAGAGATTTGTAATGTTGTTTTGAGAGCAAATATAAATCCCTGATGTGGTTTTCTCCTCCGTTATCCACTATAGCTTTATTGCTTGTAGTTGTTACAGTCTACGTCTTCACGACCACGCTGAGCTAAATCGGACAATATATACTGGCCTTTCTGTCATGTGATTCATGGCTTTATGGAAATTGTAAACGATTAAAATAGACAACATTTTACAGTGAACATTTACTCACTGCAATAACAGAAAGATTTTTCTCGAAAGAGAAATATATCAAATTTAAGCTCCTTGCAAACTTCATACAGTACCGGAACATAGACTTGAAGTTGTTACTTTTAAGCTCACTTGCTTGAAGTGCAGTTGAGCTTATGCTGGGGTGTGGTGTTGAAGATTTAGAAAGAACTTGTTACAAAGGACCCTGTAGAAACATAGAGTATGACACGCTTCCCTTGTATAAACATAGAGTATGACACCCTTCCCTTGTATAAACATAGAGTATGACACCCTTCCCTTGTATAAATATAGAGTATAACCCACTTCCCTTGTATAAACATAGAGTATGACCCACTTCCCGTGTATAAATATAGAGTATGACCCACTTCCCTTGTATAAAATAGAGTATGACCCACTTCCCTTGTATAAATATAGAGTATGACCCCCTTCCCTTGTATAAACATAGAGTATGACATGCTTCCCTTGTATAAACATAGAGTATGACCTACATCCCGTGTATAAATATAGAGTATGACCCCCTTCCCTTGTATAAACATAGAGTATGACTCACTTCCCTTGTATAAACATAGAGGATGACCCACTTCCCTTGTATAAACATAGAATATAACCCACTTTTCTTGTATAAACATAGAGTATGACACGCTTCACTTGTATAAAATAGAGTATGACCCACTTCCCTTGTATAAACATACAGTATGACCCACTTCCCTTGTATAAACATACAGTATGACCCACTTCCCTTGTATAAACATAGAATATAACCCACTTTTCTTGTATAAACATAGAGTATGACACGCTTTACTTGTATAAAATAGAGTATGACCCACTTCCCTTGTATAAATATAGAGTATAACACACTTCCCTTGTATAAACATGGAGTATGACCCACTGCCCTTGTATAAACATAGAGTATGGCCCACTTCCCTTGTATAAACATGGAGTATAACCCACTTCCCTTGTATAAACATAGAGAATGACACGCTTCCCTTGAATAAACATAGAGTATGACACCCTTCCCTTGTATAAATGTAGAGTATAACCCACTTCCCTTGTATAAACATGGAGTATGACCCACTGCCCTTGTATAAACATGGAGTATGACCCACTGCCCTTGTATAAACATGGAGTATGACCCACTTACCTTGTATAAACATAGAGTATGACACGCTTTACTTGTATAAAATAGAGTATGACCCACTTCCCTTGTATAAATATAGAGTATAACCCACTTCCCTTGTTTAAACATAGAGTATGACACGCTTCCCTTGTATAAATATAGAGTATGACCCCCTTCCCTTGTATAAACATAGAGTATGACATGCTTCCCTTGTATAAACATAGAGTATGACCTACATCCCGTGTATAAATATAGAGTATGACCCCCTTCCCTTGTATAAATATAGAGTATGCCCCACTTCCCTTGTATAAACATGGAGTATGACCCTCTTCCCTTGTATAAACATGGAGTATGACCCACTGCCCTTGTATAAACATAGAGTATGGCCCACTTCCCTTGAATAAACATAGAGTATGTCCCACTTCCCTTGTATAAACATAGAGTATAACCCACTTCCCTTGTATAAACATGGAGTATAACCCACTTCCCTTGTATAAACATGGAGTATAACCCACTTCCCTTGTATAAACATAGAGAATGACACGCTTCCCTTGAATAAACATAGAGTATGACACACTTCCCTTGTATAAACATAGAGTATGACCCACCTCCCTTGAATAAACATAGAGTATGACCCATTTCCCTTGTATAAACATAGAGGATGACACGCTTCCCTTGTATAAACATAGAGGATGACCCACTTCCCTTGTATAAACATAGACTATAACCCACTTTTCTTGTATAAACATAGAGTATGACACGCTTCACTTGTATAAAATAGAGTATGACCCACTTCCCTTGTATAAACATACAGTATGACCCACTTCCCTTGTATAAACATGGAGTATAACCCACTTCCCTTGTATAAACATAGAGTATAACCCACTTCCCTTGTATAAACATGGAGTATGACCCACTTACCTTGTATAAACATAGAGTATGACCAACTTCCCTTGTATAAACATAGAGTATAACCCACTTCCCTTGTATAAACATGGAGTATAACCCACTTCCCTTGTATAAACATAGAGAATGACACGCTTCCCTTGAATAAACATAGAGTATGACACACTTCCCTTGTATAAACATAGAGTATGACCTACATCCCGTGTATAAATATAGAGTATGACCCCCTTCCCTTGTATAAACATAGAGTATGACATGCTTCCCTTGTATAAACATAGAGTATGACACACTTCCCTTGTATAAACATAGAGTATGACACACTTCCCTTGTATAAACATAGAGTATGACCCACTTCTCTTGTATAAACATAGAGTATAACCCACTTACCTTGTATAAATTGTATAAATATAGAGTATGACCCACTTCCCTTGTGTAAATATAGAGTATGACCCACTTCCCTTGTATAAACATGGAGTATAACCCACTTCCCTTGTATAAACATGGAGTATAACCCACTTCCCTTGTATAAACATGGAGTATGACCCTCTTCCCTTGTATAAACATGGAGTATGACCCACTTCCCTTGTATAAATATAGAGTATAACCCACTTCCCTTGTATAAACATAGAGAATGACACGCTTCCCTTGAATAAACATAGAGTATGACACCCTTCCCTTGTATAAATGTAGAGTATAACCCACTTCCCTTGTATAAACATAGAGTATGGCCCACTTCCCTTGAATAAACATAGAGTATGTCCCACTTCCCTTGTATAAACATAGAGTATTACCCACTTCCCGTGTATAAATATAGAGTATGACCCTCTTCCCTTGTATAAACATGGAGTATGACCCACTGCCCTTGTATAAACATAGAGTATGGCCCACTTCCCTTGTATAAACATGGAGTATAACCCACTTCCCTTGTATAAACATGGAGTATGACCCACTTCCCTTGTAGAAACATAGAGTATGACACCCTTCCCTTGTATAAACATAGAGTATGACTCACTTCCCTTGTATAAACATAGAGGATGACCCACTTCCCTTGTATAAATATAGAGTATGACCCCCTTCCCTTGTATAAACATAGAGTATGACCCCCTTCCCTTGTATAAACATAGAGTATGACCCACTTCCCTTGTATAAACATAAAGTATGACACGCTTCCCTTGTATAAATATAGAGTATAAATCACTTTCCTTGTATAGATATAGAGTATAACCCACTTACCTTGTATAAACATAGAGTATGACCCACTTCCCTTGTATAAACATGGAGAATGACCCACTTCCCTTGTATAAACATAGACTTCCCTTGTATAAACATAGAGTATGACACGCTTCACTTGTATAAAATAGAGTATGACCCACTTCCCTGGTATAAACATAGAGTATAACCCACTTACCTTGTATAAACATAGAGTATGTCCCACTTCCCTTGTATAAACATAAAGTATGACACGCTTCCCTTGTATAAATATAGAGTATGAACCACTTCCCTTGTATAAACATGCAGTATGACCCACTTCCCTTGTGTAAACATAGAGTATGACCCACTTACCTTGTATAAACATAGAGTATGACCCACTTACCTTGTATAAACATAGAGTATGACCCACTTCCCTTGTATAAACATAGAGTATGACCCACTTCCATTGTATAAACATAGAGTATGACCCACTTCCCTTGTAGACAGTGGCCAAATAGTGGAAAAGGTGAAATTCCTTTATAGTTGGATGGGAGCCAATGGTTTGGAGGATAAATCTTTGAAAAACTACTCTGAAATTGAGTGCATGTTAAAAACTAGCTTGTATCATAGAATAAAATAGGGTTTATTAGGGTAACTAATAAAGCTAATTTAGCATTAGGGATCCCTTGGCCAAAGGGGACTCAACACAGTATATCAAAGTGTGTTGTACCTGACCTGGGCAGAAGGCCAGGGTCTATTGGGGGTAATTGTTTAACCGATTATACTACAAATGAAAGGATATTAACCTCATTTGGTATACAGACTATCCTTGTGTAAAGGGGATTGGAGCACAGGAGGTTGGGCATAATTATGGAAATACATGTAGCATATACACGTGATTTTATCTAAAGGGAATAGAATTAAAAATTTCGAATCTTTCATAGCTAAATGTTTGTCTGTTCTGAAGATGTTTTTTTTTTACTTTAAATGTTACCGTACTCAACATAACTAAAGTAAAGTCATTGGCCCCTGTAAAGTAGGGTTCTGAACGGAAATATAAAAAGGTCCTCAACAAATTCATAGATCTGTTAATCAGAAAATCTATTTTCCAATTTCTCTCTCTTTTCAAATTCAGTGGGATTCCCCAGGAATCATTGGAGCATTATTACCCTATTATTTGTCAAATGAATGATAGCCTGTCTACAAGAAAAGCATTATTTTGACATGAGTAACCTGTAGGACGTGTAATCGTTTAGATTTATAGTCCTCAAGGATTACAGTTTACCCCAGATAAGATATTCTCATTTCTCGTTTTCCACTTTTATGTCTTTGAAAATATTGATCAGCTGATGCTGTGGGAGTGTAAGCATCCTGGTCCAGTAATGCATGGGTGGGTCGCTGTAAACATCCTGATCCAGTAATGCATTGGTGGGTTGCTGTAAACATCCTGATCCAGTAATGCCTGGGTGGGTCGCTGTAAACATCCTGGTATAGAAAATGCTGGGTAGGTCGATGTAAAACATCCTGATCCAGTAATGCCTGGGTGGGTCGCTGTAAACATCCTGGTATAGAAAATGCTGGGTAGGTCGCTGTAAAACATCCTGATCCAGTAATGCCTGGGTAGGTCGCTGTAAACATCATAGTACAGTAACAGCTTGATGGGTCGCTCTAAACATCCTGGTACAGTAACGGCTGGTTGGGTCGCTGTAAACATCCTGATCCAGTAACGACTCAGTGGGTCACTGTAAACATCCTGGTACAGTAACGGCTGGTTGGGTCGCTGTAAACATCCTGGTCCAGTAACGACTCAGTGGGTCACTGTAAACATCCTGGTCCAGTAACGACTCAGTGGGTCACTGTAAACATCCTGGTACAGTAACGGCTTGATGGGTCGCTGTAAACATCCTGGTCCAGTAATGCCTGGGTGGGTCACTGTAAACATCCTGGTATAGAAAATGCTGGGTAGGTCGCTGTAAAACATCCTGATCCAGTAATGCCTGGGTGGGTCACTGTAAACATCCTGGTATAGAAAATGCTGGGTAGGTCGCTGTAAAACATCCTGATCCAGTAATGCCTGGGTGGGTCACTGTAAACATCCTGGTATAGAAAATGCTGGGTAGGTCGCTGTAAAACATCCTGATCCAGTAATGCCTGGGTGGGTCACTGTAAACATCCTGGTATAGAAAATGCTGGGTAGGTCGCTGTAAAACATCCTGATCCAGTAATGCCTGGGTGGGTCACTGTAAACATCCTGGTATAGAAAATGCTGGGTAGGTCGCTGTAAAACATCCTGATCCAGTAATGCCTGGGTGGGTCACTGTAAACATCCTGGTATAGAAAATGCTGGGTAGGTCGCTGTAAAACATCCTGATCCAGTAATGCCTGGGTGGGTCACTGTAAACATCCTGGTATAGAAAATGCTGGGTAGGTCGCTGTAAAACATCCTGATCCAGTAATGCCTGGGTGGGTCACTGTAAACATCCTGGTATAGAAAATGCTGGGTAGGTCGCTGTAAAACATCCTGATCCAGTAATGCCTGGGTGGGTCACTGTAAACATCCTGGTATAGAAAATGCTGGGTAGGTCGCTGTAAAACATCCTGATCCAGTAATGCCTGGGTGGGTCACTGTAAACATCCTGGTATAGAAAATGCTGGGTAGGTCGCTGTAAAACATCCTGATCCAGTAATGCCTGGGTGGGTCACTGTAAACATCCTGGTATAGAAAATGCTGGGTAGGTCGCTGTAAAACATCCTGATCCAGTAATGCCTGGGTGGGTCACTGTAAACATCCTGGTATAGAAAATGCTGGGTAGGTCGCTGTAAAACATCCTGATCCAGTAATGCCTGGGTGGGTCACTGTAAACATCCTGGTATAGAAAATGCTGGGTAGGTCGCTGTAAAACATCCTGATCCAGTAATGCCTGGGTGGGTCACTGTAAACATCCTGGTATAGAAAATGCTGGGTAGGTCGCTGTAAAACATCCTGATCCAGTAATGCCTGGGTGGGTCACTGTAAACATCCTGGTATAGAAAATGCTGGGTAGGTCGCTGTAAAACATCCTGATCCAGTAATGCCTGGGTGGGTCACTGTAAACATCCTGGTATAGAAAATGCTGGGTAGGTCGCTGTAAAACATCCTGATCCAGTAATGCCTGGGTGGGTCACTGTAAACATCCTGGTATAGAAAATGCTGGGTAGGTCGCTGTAAAACATCCTGATCCAGTAATGCCTGGGTGGGTCACTGTAAACATCCTGGTATAGAAAATGCTGGGTAGGTCGCTGTAAAACATCCTGATCCAGTAATGCCTGGGTGGGTCACTGTAAACATCCTGGTATAGAAAATGCTGGGTAGGTCGCTGTAAAACATCCTGATCCAGTAATGCCTGGGTGGGTCACTGTAAACATCCTGGTATAGAAAATGCTGGGTAGGTCGCTGTAAAACATCCTGATCCAGTAATGCCTGGGTGGGTCACTGTAAACATCCTGGTATAGAAAATGCTGGGTAGGTCGCTGTAAAACATCCTGATCCAGTAATGCCTGGGTGGGTCACTGTAAACATCCTGGTATAGAAAATGCTGGGTAGGTCGCTGTAAAACATCCTGATCCAGTAATGCCTGGGTGGGTCACTGTAAACATCCTGGTATAGAAAATGCTGGGTAGGTCGCTGTAAAACATCCTGATCCAGTAATGCCTGGGTGGGTCACTGTAAACATCCTGGTATAGAAAATGCTGGGTAGGTCGCTGTAAAACATCCTGATCCAGTAATGCCTGGGTGGGTCACTGTAAACATCCTGGTATAGAAAATGCTGGGTAGGTCGCTGTAAAACATCCTGATCCAGTAATGCCTGGGTGGGTCACTGTAAACATCCTGGTATAGAAAATGCTGGGTAGGTCGCTGTAAAACATCCTGATCCAGTAATGCCTGGGTGGGTCACTGTAAACATCCTGGTATAGAAAATGCTGGGTAGGTCGCTGTAAAACATCCTGATCCAGTAATGCCTGGGTGGGTCACTGTAAACATCCTGGTATAGAAAATGCTGGGTAGGTCGCTGTAAAACATCCTGATCCAGTAATGCCTGGGTGGGTCACTGTAAACATCCTGGTATAGAAAATGCTGGGTAGGTCGCTGTAAAACATCCTGATCCAGTAATGCCTGGGTGGGTCACTGTAAACATCCTGGTATAGAAAATGCTGGGTAGGTCGCTGTAAAACATCCTGATCCAGTAATGCCTGGGTGGGTCACTGTAAACATCCTGGTATAGAAAATGCTGGGTAGGTCGCTGTAAAACATCCTGATCCAGTAATGCCTGGGTGGGTCACTGTAAACATCCTGGTATAGAAAATGCTGGGTAGGTCGCTGTAAAACATCCTGATCCAGTAATGCCTGGGTGGGTCACGGTAAACATCCTGGTATAGAAAATGCTGGGTAGGTCGCTGTAAAACATCCTGATCCAGTAATGCCTGGGTAGGTCGCTGTAAACATCATAGTACAGTAACAGCTTGATGGGTCGCTCTAAACATTCTGGTACAGTAACGGCTGGTTGGGTCGCTGTAAACATTCTGGTCCAGTAACGGCTGGTTGGGTCGCTGTAAACATTCTGGTACAGTAATGCCTGGGTGGGTCGCTGTTAACATACACAGAAATTAGATTTGATAGTGATTTGATGATCTTTTAATAGAAATGCTGAATATACTACAATATTTGGGTTATACATAGTAAATTTCAGTAAATAGTACAGTAATGCATATGTTTAGTGGTGATCAGATTCCTTGGTTATATCAATACAACAGTTATCTAAGTAGGTACTGTATCACATTCCATGCATTATCAACATAATCTTCTCTAGTCGTACATGTAACCATATAAAACACATTTCTTATTTCAGCAATTATCCTGTTACATAATAAGTCAGTGATAATCTTGTAAAAAAGAGCAATTTAAAACTGTGATTTTGTAGTACAGCTGTAGTAGGTTCATCATTGTCTGGTGTATAATTATATAATTTAGCTGATATATGTGTACATCTACTGTGATCCTCATTTAAATGTCAGTTTTTCAATACTGTTTAAAGTACCTACAAACTTATTACTCTAATAAGTAAAACATCATCAGGTTTTTTTTTTTTAACAAATTAAAATAAAAGTTCAGTATAGAAATTTCATTAAAGATTCATATTGATGTGTTATCATTTCAGAACCTGATGCAGAGACGGAGGGAGTTGGAAACGTTCTCTCCGTCCGACTTTGAGTAGTAGGAACATTTCAGTGTATAGTTTACAGCATTCTGTGATAATTTCTTGCATTTTTAAACACAGCTATTTTACTGCTACAGTACAGGATCCTTGTTCTGATAAACCTCATCTGTATAGTGACATTTTAACGTCACATCTAATTGTGTGATTAAACTGAAAACTAAACTTCACTTTGGGGTTTAAAGTGATCCTTGTCGGATAAAATAATGAAAATATTTAGTTTTGTAAACAATTTTGAAATTGTATTTCCCACTTTCTGTGTCATCAATTAAAGTGATAACACGCTTGAGACAGCGAGCTGAGGAGGTTTGGACCAAATCACTTGTCATTTTTCAGACACATACAGCAAGTTTCCATATTCAATAATCTTTAGGAACAGAAAACTAAATGGCTGGCTGGCATAATATGTGTTGTATTAATCCATATGCTGGTTTAGGTATCATGTCAACATTTCCTGTAGGATAATGCACAGCCAAAGTGTGTGGACCAATTTTTCCCTGTTTTCGATTTATTTTCGCAAAAATAAAAATAAAAATACCGCGAGATAGAAATGATAGTTCTATGTAGAAGCATTGTTTTTTATCTTTTGGTGGTAGCAATGTGAAAAATAACTTCTACGAATGATGTTTTTCTTGTTTTTCGAGGGGAGAATTGAACCAAAATAGTGGAAATTAATTTACTTTTGTGAGAGGCATCCTCATTTATTAGTGAACTCATTGGATGGAGTTAGCTCCCTTTGTTCTACCCTAGCCAGCTACTGGTAGGGTACGTGAACTTGGGGCCTGTTCGTTTAAGAGGAACAACCGGTTTGTCCGTTTTTAAATGTAACAATTTCGGGTATAAAACGTGGCGGACCTGCAAATGTTTATGCAGGCCTTACAAGGCTTTGTCAAGGCTCGCCTGAAAGCAGTATCAGATTACTAGGTCCGACCTTATTTAATAAACGAACAACTGTGGTCCGACCGGTTAAACCATTTAGACGAAAACGGCCCAGGTGAATTTTTACCTTACAATGGAGTAATATACAAATACAGAGGCAGTGTTAAAGCAAGGCTGCTTACTGACAGAGTGTTTGCACATACAATGAATTCAAATTATTGATTTCTAATGCATTTTATGCATGGTGGTCTAATTTGTGATAAACAATTTAGTTGTTACGGTAATGACATTTGTGTTTCATTTAATGTTCATGTCATGAAATGTATGCATCATCATAAAATCTTTAAACAAAATTAAATCTATTTCAAACTGTTTTAATCAAGAATTCCGTCATTTAATCAATTGATCACTTTACTTAAGGATATATGCTACCTTTTGCATCATACTTGTGACTTGTGTTAGAGTTATCTCCCTTATAAAATAATATAGTAATTATTGGTAAAAGTTAAGAATTACCAGATTGTTATCAATCCCTGCTTTCTTGTCTATTTTTTTAAAATGTGTTATCAATTAAACATGTCCATTGATTAAACATGGTCAGTTCATAAAATACAATTTACAGGTTCCTGAGTGTGGAACTCATTTTAAGGGATATATATCACACTAAGGTAGCATATATCCTAAACGATGGCATAGAGATGGTGTGGAGGTTGATGGGGCCCAATATCTTATAGGATATAGCTGTTATCAATTAAGAAATGTTGACAAAATCAAATACAATATACATCCCCCCCCCCCACCATAACTTCATTGTATGTTATGTATACTGTTTTAACACTGACTGATCTAGAATGTCTTCCTGGACCCACCGTTAAAGTTACTTTTGTTCTGTTTCGCAAATGAACGGTTGTTGGTGCTTGAACTTTTCATAACTTTTTGGAAAAATACATTATTGCAAAAAAAAAATTACAGCTTTTACCTTGCCTTGACTTGTACAGTCATTATCGAATGTTCTGTTTAAATATTATAAAAAAGCGATAGTGGTTAGACTGAATGTAGTTTTGTTAAACTTAATCTTGTAAGTATTTTCATCTTATTTTTACACTACATTTAAATTTCTTTTTCCCTGACAGTATTTATAGAAATTTAAGGATTTCTTTGATAACAGAAAAATAACTGATAACTCTTTACATCGTGTGTATTGCGAAATGTTGACAGAAATAAGCAGAAATTTGTCTGTAATATTGAGGTGGCCAAATTTTGTTTTTGTTTTGTTGTAATATGTTGACAGTGACAGACTGTGAAGGTATTTAAATTTCCGTCACAACCCATAGAGGGTCAGGTTTTACTCACTTTCTCCACACTAAGGGAACGTTGTCTAACTAATCCTGTTTTAAGTATTATATTGTGTCTCTTAATTGATTTGCTGTCAGTGTATCACTTTCATATGTTGTTATAGTATTTGATTGTTATTTGTTTATTTATTGAATGTACATACATATATACATGTAATTCCTTTGTTTGAAGAATCAGATCTAATCTATTTGCATTTAATATTAATGTTTACCTTTGAAATTGTGAAAGTAAATCGTGTAAATTCTTGATTCATTAACTACCCATCCTAGATCTCCCCTTTTTTACATCAACATACCTGCATTACACTGGTGCTATATGTAATCTCTGTACTGCGATCTGATAGTGATTCTTTATGTATCTATTAAATACTGACTGTGATCTGGCTGTGGTGCAACATATCAAAGAATCTTGACTTAGGTCGAAAATATCTGTAATATTACTAGGTTAACTCATTCAACCCTGAAGACACATTCAAACTCTTTCAATTCAATGGTTGGAATAGTTCATTATGGAGTTTCAGGGGTGAATGAGTTAACAACCAAGGGAACTGTGCATGACACAACTTTGGAATATACCATTGAAAAGAGAAAATCTATTCTCCTTTTTCAGTCTTCATTTTTCTTTTGAACAAGGCATTTACAGTCTATAAAATAACAAGCATAAGGGCAAATTCAATGTACACTTGCAAAAGAAACACATGCTGGGGCAAATGAAGGTAAATTGCTCTTTATAGTATTTGTATCATCATGAATTAAAAAAACTTCACATGTTAGCTTCAGAATATAACAAGTCAAGATTGAATTTCTATTACTGATAAATTACAGTAGATTGTACTGTGTGATACAAATCGCTACACTGTGAGGTTAATGAAAACCAATATAATTAATGATTCTTATCAGCGAAAATTGAGTAGGACTGAAAAGTGTAATATCACAATATCTAATTTGTGTTTCATGGCAATTTGTTTCCAGGTTTTTTGATTGGCATGAGATATCTTTGAGTAATCAGTCGATGACGTTGTGTCTCCGTTTACAAATTTGAAAGCAGTAGATTGTTATGTTGTGTATTGTTTGAAGCTAGCCCTAGAGAACCTGGTCGAGGTGTTGTATAGGGAGAGTTGTGAAGATTTATACTTACTTGTGATAAAAACTCTGTTGTGCTACTTCTGTAAGAACGTTCTGAAAAACGATGATATTTGTATACGCTTTTATATATGATATGATATTCCTTTTTAATTTATTTTCCTTCTCTACATTTTATGTAACAGAGAAGCATTTTGTTCATATTCCATTACGCACACACCTGTTCAATAGTGCCAGACATGTTGATGGTTGGTGTCAGACAGACAGGGTTATCTAATTGTAGTCAAACAGTTTCTAGAATGGTCAAAATGACCGTTATCAGCAGTCACAGACACTTGGGTTGTCCCCTTTTAATGGTAGAAAAACAATTAGGTTACTACAGTCAGAACAACTATTGTCAGCAGTGACAGAGTTCTCATGTTAATTTTGATTGCATGAAATGAAAATATTGTGGATTTAATATGGCAACTTGTGTATAATTGATAAAACTGAATCTCAATTGATTTTGTTTCCTTTTTATTCTAGTACAAGTAGTAGCTGATTCCTTGTATACATGTTGTAACCAGCTCTAACTGAAATATTGGTAGAGACGTACATTTCTGGGATATGTCATGCTGACTTGATAAGAAGCCATATTTACCCTAATTAAAGCCCCCTCATTGAGGGTGAAGCTGTGTGAATTTATGTTTAGCATAAAAACGAAATTTTGAGGCACAACCCATATGGGCATTCCTGGACATAATTAATTATAAAGTAATGATATGATTCTAAAATTAGAAAGAAAGAATGTTTTTTTTGTAAAAAAAAATATCTTTCGTTTTTAAGTTGTGCTCTAACTATTACTACTTCAGTGGCGTCTATAATTAAATAAGATGCTGGATTCTTCGAAAAATGATGGGAGGGGAGGAAGTTATGAGGGCTTTTATTACAGTAAATATGGTAATCTTTCTGATTAAGCCCCTAGCTAGTCTAAGTATGTAGGTAGGTGATGTCTTAGTGACATGTGTAACAGACTACAAATTTGTACCAAAGACATCAGATAATAAACTAAATATTTATACAATCAATGTTTGTCTTGTTTTAGTCTTGATGCAATTTGCAAATCGAGTAAGGCATCGTATTCGTTCATTTATGGAGGTCAGAACTGACAATTATTCCTATGATTTTCAAAAAGTTGATAGATGTGGGAAGCACATCCCTCGAGTGTCACAGCCCTCAAGTGTCCCAACTTTTCATGTGTATGTGTGCTTCTGCTTGCTCTTTGAAAAACGGATTCTTGAGTTCTAAAACAGCGATTCCGATGAGTTGAGAAACTGACAACAAGAAAACTGTTAGTGAATATTAAGTTCCGGAATCCCCAGTTTACCCTGTGTATGAGTCGGTCCTGACGTTAAATTTCCGTAGAGGCATGTTTGGACGTTTTTCAATTTTGAAAATATTTCACTATAGTTCTATCTGTTCAAAAAACGAAAAATGAAATGAGCTTGTTGGATACAGTGATTCTACTAACCAGTGAACATGTATGTAGATCTAGGCAACAGAACTCAGCTAATTGTGAATACAATGCCCATTTGTGAGGTATATGCATCAGTTCTTACTGAAGATATTGATGAAATACCAGCTTTGGAAAACCTTAAATTCGTGATCTGCTGTTCTTGGATTGGTAGTTAATTATATAGTTAATTTCGTTATTATATAAGGAGGTCGTTGTTTTCAGCTTCAGGGGAAAAGGTACTATAGTTATTGAAAAGAATTAATTTCTTCGTAGATTCGTTTATAGCGACAGACAACGGTCCAGAAATTGTCACATTTTCTTATGAATTTTTGTTTAGTAGATGGCCGAGCTGTACTGGGGGACCTTGTTATGTACATTCGTCACAGGGGCGTGTGTTCTATAATCAAACTTGGCACCTCCATACATGTGTAGAGAGGGAGGGAAAACAAGCCCATTGTTGGCGTCACGCCACTGAATACCTCTGAAACGGAACTTTACATCCGTGCGAGGTTATCATGATGTCCAAATATTCCGCATTACGAGAAAGAGAAATGTGTCTGTATACTATACGATTGTTAATGTCAACTTTATCTGATTTCGTCCACAATTAATGTCAGACGTGTGTGTGTGTGTGTGTGAGNGAAATTCACGGAATGGGCTTCATTGTGATATCCGACAACAACACTCTTGGGGAACACAGCCATTTTGTCAATGACCAATCAGATGATTACAGGATAATTGGTAATGTACGTTGTCACACTGAGCTATCTACCAAATTGAGTGGTGATAGTCGCTAAATTTCCTGTGAATACTCGTTGTTGCGTTTGTGTTTGACAAACCACTGATGTCTGAATTGATTTTCAGTTTCTCTCTTTTAAATAAAAATAAATGTGTTATATAAATTATTGGTTGTTTAGGTAGTCCTAGAACAAACTCTTCAAACTTGTAGTACAGGTCAAGAATGTAATTTACCTGTATATTGGAAACGTCAGAAGGCATTCTTTCATTCATGGATCTGTTTCGCTTTAA